ACTTGAAGTTGGACTTGAAGTTGGACTTGAAGTTGGACTTGAAGTTGGACTTGAAGTTGGACTGAAGTTGGACTTGAAGTTGGACTTGAAGTTGGACTTGAAGTTGGACTTGAAGTTGGACTTGAAGTTGGACTTGAAGTTGGACTTGAAGTTGGACTTGAAGTTGGACTATGACTATGACTATGACTATGACTATGACTATGACTATGACTATTGTTATTGTTATTGTTATTGTTATTGTTATTGTTATTATTATTTATTATTATTGTTATTATTGTTTATTAGTGTTATTCTTATTCTTATTCTTATTACTATTACTATTACTATTACTATTACTATTACTACTTCTATTACTATTACTATTACTATTACTATTACTATTACTATTACTTTACTATTACTATCACTGTTGTCAATTGTCATTGTCATTGTTTGTTATTATTTGTTGTTATATTGTTTATATTTTTATTATTTATTACTATAACTTATATATTATCATTATTATTATTATTATTATTATTATTTTTTTATTATTATTATTATGATTATTAATGTTTTTATTATTATTATTATTATTATTATTAATTATTATTATTTATTTTTATTATTTAATTTATTAATTATTATTATTTATTTTTTGTTTTATTGTTATTAGTATCTTAATGTGTTTCCTTTGAAGATCATGATGACTAGAAATGTGATGTTGTTGTTTGTTTTTGTTGTTATTGTTATGATTATTATTATTAACTATTACTATTATTATTATGATGTGTTTTTGTTTAATGGTTATGTAACACGAATGATATAGTTTTAACTTATATTACTGGAAAGCATTTGTATTTTTTTGATTTGTTACAAAGTATGGAAGTGTGAATATGCTGATACTAATGTCTGAATTTTTTTCTTAATGATGTGCAGACCACAGAGCAAATGAACAAATTCCCATTGTGCGTCAGCACGCGAAGCCATACGAGATAGCTCAGGAAGAGGCTCGGGAAAGGCATCAGCCCTTGACTTGTTGTCCATGAGTACCAAGGCAACTCGTTAGAGGATTATAACAGGAACAATTTGATTAATGTCTTAGTTTAATTGGAAAACTGGTTCAGAGATAGTCTCTGTGTTATCAATGTTTTTCTTTCTAATAATTATTATGTATTTATGAATCAGCCTCCCTGGTATAATTCTTTTACAATTAGTGTATCCTCAGGCTTCGGGTCTCAGTGTGAAAATCACTTAGTTGGCTGATTTACGGATTACTATTATTATTTGTTTATTATAACTTTTTTGTATATTATACACTTTCCGCTTCAAGTTCAGGATGATATTCAGTGTCACTCCCATCCTTTATCTTATGGTTCTTGTTATAATAATGCATGAATTCTCCTATTAATGTTCACTCCCCCTTTCTGCTCCCTACATGGATTTGTATTGGAATATTATGTCACCTGTGGACCGTGTGGGTGCCTACAAAAACCGCTATGAACTCCAATTGAATTATTGCCTACGTTAGTATGAAAACTATCATGCGATTGGCACACCTTTCACGCTGATCTGTGAATACTATAAAAACATGATCTCAATTTTACCCTGTGGATATTTGTGAAATGCATGTAAAACACTATTTTTTGGGTTGGAAAAAATAATTTTTTGGTGGTGGATGTATCTCAACAAACATTGCATCTCCTCTGATGACACTTACTCTGATCTTGTGTGCCCTTACGCTCTGCCCTCACATGTCCCTATTGATTACTGTTTGCATCTGCCCCATTCCCTGCTGTGCTCCCCCTTCAATTTTCCTCTAATTAGAGAAAAGATGAGCGAACTGCTGCAATTTGTTCAACCAGTATGAGATCAGCTTGCAGACCTCACAACTCAGCATGAGGCTCACATCAAAGAGTTGAAGCTACCTGGAAGTCTAGAGCTGAGAAAGATACGTTAGGCAACGTGAGATGCAGCTACAGGAGGAAATGATGTGGATTGTCACAGGGTAGTAGGAAACAAGTAGAGTAACTGCATGGGATAGTGAGTAGCTTGGTCATATCTTTTTCATAAAGGGAGGTAGTGCTTTGTCTTCTGAGGTGGTGTATTTTTCAGTTTTTTTCGGAATGATATTTGCCTTGTGTGGAACTGTATAGCACTCGAGCATATGACCGTTTTAGGGATGATTATATATTTCCTGCGACAGTAGTAATGCATTTTCTATTTCCTTCTCAAGTTATATGAAACATTCATATCGAATACCATTATACAAGCATGAATCTACATAAAACGTAATTGTATAGGTGAAAAAACTTTTTGGTATAGCTCAGGATATGATTTTGATTGAGTGAATTTTGATGAAATATGATTCTGCATGAGCAGCAAGTTTTTACATAATTGTGTGAAGCATGGTAGTCTATTATCCTAATCATTGCAAATGCAAATGCAGTTCTTTGAGTAATTTAAGTTCTGTTTTATTTTTGTCATTCTCACCTTGTATTTTTGTTCTTTTTCTTCTTTTTTTTTTTTGGCTTTCTAGAGTCCTGCACCTGAATCCACAGAAGAAATCCAGGTAGAGTCTCCCCCAGCTTCTGACTATGTGGTCTAGTATCCAAATCCCAGTTTGACATGCATCACCAGAATCCCTTGTTATATATTTTTTAGGCTGTTCTATTTTTGCTTGTCTTTTATATCTATTATGTAGAACTTGTAAAAGATGATGATGTTCATGAAATCCTCAGTTTTAAGTTGCCTTTTCCTCATGATGTGAGTTTGGATAGCTCAGAACGAATGTATTGGTAAAGTCACCATTCATTGTCAAGGAATCTGTCTCCTTGTTATATACACCATGTCTTATAATGACTTTTTATCTTTCACAGGAACTTGAAAGACTAACCCAAGTGGCTGCAGCAGCCTTTAGAAGTGGCACTGATTCTGTTGAACTTCTCAAGAAGCAAGTGGCTGCTCAACGAAAGGAGCTTGAGGAAGTCAAGCTGAACCATGGGTTAGTAAAGTTACTGTTTTGTGTAATTTTTACTTATATGATGTGCATACTTGATATATCCAGTATAACCTCTAACTGGATTTTAATATACATATATGATACATATATAATATTTCATTTCCTCAGCAAAGAGATAGGGGAGCTTAAGGCACTATTAGAACTTAAAAGAAGAACGAGAGGAGGAGGAGGTGGAAGTGGAGGAGGAGGTGGAGGGGTCAGACTTGGAGTAGCTCTTGAGGAAGCAGCAGAATTCGAGTACCTTAAGAATATCTTGTACCAGTACATGCTTGGAAAGGAAACTCGGGTAAGTTGATTTTTCCCCTCATAGTGTTTGGTATTTTTTTGTTGTTTTAAATACAAATTTACTGTATGCATTTATTGATTGAGCAGATATATATAATAATATATATATATAGATATATATTATTATATATATATATATATATATATATATATATATATATATATATATATATATATTATATATATATATATATATATATATATAATATATATATATATACATATATACTATATATATATACATATATTATATACACGTGTGTGTGTGTGGGGGGGGATTGTTAATGTGCTGCCCTTTTTTTTTTTTAGAGTTAAGAGAGTGTGAAATTATAGATAATCAGTGTATTCACATTCTAATGTGCAAAAATTTCTCTTTTGTCCAGACACTGAGTAAAGTATTGTGTGCAGTTGTGAAGTTTGATAACAATCAGCAAGAGATTTTAGATTATGAAGAACAAAAGCAAAGCCTGGTGAGTAGAATAAAGCTTCAAGGTAGAGCTTATCGGGGACGTAAAGCAGGGAAGGAACTGGAGTTTCCCTCCAGGCCCGAAGGGATGGAAAGGGGAGAAAGTTCGAAGGCTTTTCCCCCATGCGGTTTCCCCACATCACATTTTGAGCAGTAACCTTTTAGATATCAAAATCACAATTCTTTTTACTTGCATTCCTATAGCACTACAAGCAGTCAGGCATCAGCTTTATTGTAGTGATAAAACAGTACTGAGGTAGTGTTGGGATTTTGAACAAAACACTTGGTATGCATAGGGAAAAAAATGAAATTGTGGTTTTTGAAGACTGGTAGTTGTCTTGATCATGATTTTTATAATTTTCATTTTTGATATAATTATGTTTTAGTATGAAAGAATGTTTTATGTATAAAGCAAATTTGTGAATCTAGAAGAAAACTGTAAATGTGTCACTTTCTTTCTCTTTTTTTTCAGTACAAAATCCTAAATTGCCCTTGATTATAAGATTATGTACTTGTAACTTTTGGCTGGATCTGTGCATCACTACTTTGAGGTTTTGATTAGATGTGTGGTTCAAGAGAAAAAGAAATGTGACACGTCCAAGGTTTATTTGA